TTAATGTGTCCACAAAAGGTGGCATTAAAAAATATCTAAGTTAGCCATTAAAGTGCCACCGTGTTTTTGTCTTTTTCTACTCTTTATTTTTATTTTATTTTCACTGATGACATTTTATTCTGTATTTGATTTCTTTTCTTAAATTCGATGTTTGCTGAGTTATTTTTTCTGTGATTATGAAAGTTTGGATTCCAATTTTTTGAGGAACACAGTATATGATCCTTTCCCAGCTCACACTAGTTCCATACATGCAGCTGAATAATGAAGATAATGAAATGTTTATGCTGTAAAGTAGTGTTCCCCAACGTTTTTCGGACCGCGGATCGGTTCGGGGGTGCTGGCTCCCTGCGTGGACCGGTTGGGGGGTGGGGGCACCCCTGCGCTCACGGGTGGGCATGTCACGCTTGTGCACATGTGTGACAGGCCCCTTGCACTCATGCGTGAAACACCCGCCTCTTTGCCGAGCCCGGTCTTGAGCGGAGGGGAGGCGGCTTCACCACCTTGATCAAAGAGATCTGGCGGCGGTGGTCATGAGCCTGGACTCCCTGCCTTCCCTGCAACCAGCGGTGGCTCAGCTCCTCGTGGCTGGGGGCCAGGTAGTGTGGGAGGGAGCAGCGGCTGCCGCCAGGCAGCCACAAAGAGCTGAGCTGCCGCTGGTTGCGAGGGGGGGAGGCCGGGCCTCGAGACTGCTGCCGCCAGATCTCTTTGATCAAGGTGGAAGGGGGTGCAGAGATTGAGGTAGCAGGCGGCGGAGGCCGGCCTGGCTGGTCTGCAGCACCCGCTGGCACTCCAGGGCCGCCACCTTGGCGGCATACTCAGCCAAGAAGGCACGGAAGCCCTCGTCCGGGAAGGCCTGGCTCAGGCGCTCTGCCCGTCAGCTTGAAGTCCTCCAGGGTTGAGCAGGCCGCCATGGTGAAGCCGCCTCCCGTCCGCTCAAGGCTGGGCTCGTCCAAGAGGTGGGTGTGTCACGCATGAGCATGAGGGGGCATGTCACACTCGCACACATGCACACAAGCTCAAAATGCTCACCAGCAAGCGCGACACGCCCCCCGTGTGGGCGGGCAGGGGGACGGTGATCCCTGTTCGCGGCCCAGTCCAAGGCAGCCCACGGACCGGCACCGGGCCGTGGACCGGCGGTTAGGGACCCCTGCTGTAAAGTCTGATTAGTGTCTATGAACAGACCTAGTGCTGGACAAATAGTGATCTTTTCTATTTGCTAAATACATTTTCCCAAAAAGAGCAGACAACCAGGCAAAGCCATGACGCTTACCCATGTAAGCCAAACCCTGTACACGACATCCAACAAAGGGGACATCTGTTCCTTGTAAATGTAACTTAGTTTGGTGGAGTTGAATACCAAAATTGTTCACATATAGAAAACATACAGATTTTATCAGTGCCCTGCACCACAGAACATTGGCATTATTAATGGTAGAATCCCTTTCCCATACATGTTTAACTCCCAACATATTAATGTACAATAAATCTATACTGATGAAATAAATCTTAGAAGTACTCTGTTCAGTGTCGCACTAAGCCAGCATAATTAGATTTTCAAAAAGGGGTGAGAGAACAGACAATCTGAATGTCAACTCACAAATAGGAAATAAGATGTATTATTTGATTAGTTTGGATTCATTATTTAAATCTGAATTAGAATTACAAACAAAAAATACAATACAATAACATGTATTCCACTGATCTGCAAGCATGATTATAGGTATGTTCATGCAGAAGAATTTCAAGATCTCATATCATGATAGTATGAAAGCCTGAGAGTGTGGCTGGAAATATTTAGAAATATATCTTGTGCAGTTCCAAATGGGATACAATGGAAATGTTGGTCTAAATGGTTGCAATCATTCTAAGGGGACCTCTGAAACTGAGGTCACAGCAATGGTGCAGTTAAAGTCTTTGATGAACACATGCTGAATGCAGTGGAATAATACACATATAAATACTTCTCTAAGGAGACAAAAGAACTGAGCCATCTACACTGTTACATTGAAAAACAATGGATACCCAGGCATCTTCTTTCCAAAGAAAGAAGGAAATTTTCTGCTAGCCAAGCCTCTGGTGTGCTCATTATGAATTGAAGTGACCTCTTGAGGTCTGTCTGCTTCTATGTTTGTTGTAGTTTATTGCAATAGCATTCTATGACCATGAACATCTACCACCATTTCATTATAGAGTCTTTATAAACAAAGTCAACTTGTCTTCAGGAATTCAGTATCTTCTTTCCTACATCTGAGTCTCTTTTATTGATGAGGAGCCTTCAGAAGCGACAGTTGTAAAGTGATCACCTTTTTATAAGAAATTAATAAAGAAATCATGTTAATTTGGAAAAAGATTCCCCTGTAGTGTACTTTCTGAAGTATATAGACCATCGCAGCCTTATTTTCAATTAAACTTAACAAATATGTGAATGAACTTTTACACAGTTTTCAGTATCTGCCCTTTTCAGATCTGTGATACATTAAAATTAGGAACGTCACCATTTTATCTCCAGAGGAGCAGTTTCGGTTGTTTGTGTGCTTTGCCCAAAGGCATATATGTCAATCATTAATAGATGGTTTATTCTTTGGTCCAAATTTCTTATTGCATTTCTGAGCTCACTGGATGATACGGGCAGCAGCTAGATTCTTTAGCTAGATCCTTATGTGAATACTTCAGCTAGTTTTGACTTGAAAGAAACCTATTTCCTGGACTTCCTTTCATGTTGTTGGCAGAAAAAAATAAAGACTGGAGACTTACCTCCTGGAGATTTTAAAGTAACTTTCCCTTTCTTGTTTTCTTTCTGATCTAGCCAGTAAATTGCAACTGCCTATGTGTGCAGTGTTCATTGTGAGTCTCCTCCTAAACAAATACTTCAGTTGATGTTGAAATATTATAAAGTGTGTGACGTTAGATGTTACTGCAGTACAAGAGCATTCCTTTCAGGATAGTCTTCCCTTTGAAATGTCTACTGCTGATTCTAATTTCTGCCCTTAATGAATACTTAAATCATTGATACGAACTAACTATGTCTCTTTGATACACTGGTTTATATTTTATACTGTGGGATTTAGCAACCAGGACTTGGTTTTCTAGCTGTGAAGTACTCCAGTGCATAGAATTTTTAAAGCTTGTTAAATGCAAAATGTAAATCAGGAAAAGCCATTGATTTAGTCTTAATTAGGCAGATCTCTGTTTAAGAATGAAAGTGACTCAGTGCCAAGCTTGTGAATAGGTTTTCCTTTAAAAAATGAAAATACATGAAAAGCAGTTGTGGGCAGTACTCCAAATTAGATTAAGGCTGTGTGCCAAAAAAAGGAATATTTAACTACTTCTCTGCAAGTAATTTTCTTAATATGATATAAATCAACCCACCCATATGCTGTTTGCCCCACAGGTCCAGTTTATGGGTTGGAGGTGGATATCTATATATTTTTTCCCGTGTGGGGCAAACTAAAGATGGGGGGCACAACACAAGTCAGAAAATGGTAAGGAAGGGGCTGGTGTTTTGAAAATAGGTGCAGTCCTGGTTTATATTGGATGCTTTCATGGCTCTTCTGTATTCAGCCTAATTTGATAGTCAAATGTGTTGTGAATGCTGAGGTATTAGGTTAATTCTGGGGTGTTGGTGGTTGTATGAAAGATTGTATATTACAGAACAATGTTTTTGTCTAGCAACATGGATTAAGGGTCATTGTAGGTTTTTTGGCCGTGTTCCGAAGGTTTTTCTTCCTAATGTTTTGAAACATTAGAAAGAAAAACCTTCGGAACAGTCTCTGTGGTTTCTGAAAGCCTTCAAGAAAAGATGGATTAAAATATGTAGTTAATTTGTTGGAAATATTTTTATGGTTTTTCTAAAAATGTCTCTTTGCTTTCCATGTAATACAGTGGTGCCTCGCAAGACGGGTGCTCCGTTTAACAATGAATCCGCATTACGATGAGGTTTTTGAGATCGCAAAACAACGTTTTGAGTGGGGGAATTTTGCTGCGCGATGATTGTTTCCCTGTTTTGGGAACCGATTTTTGCTTCCCAGTGATCAAAACAGCTGATCGTTGGGGTTTCAAAATGGCCGCCGGGTGCTCAAAATGGCTCCCCGCTGTGTTTAGGAGCCATTTTTCACTGCACAGGCACCCAAAAATGGCTGCCCCTATGGAGGATCTTCGCTGGACAGTGAGTTCTTAGCCGATTGGAACACATTAACCAGATTTTAATGCATTTCAATGGGTTTTTTATTTTTGCTTTACGACGTTTTCATTCTACAGCGATTTTGCTGGAATGAATTAACGTTGTAATGCGAGGCACCACTGTATTAACACCCCACAGTGATAATCAGAGGCTAAAAAATATGCATTGCCTGTGTACTTATTCACAACCTCCTGTGATTTTCTTATATTTTTCACATAATTTGACACCCCAACGTGATAATCAGAGGCTAAAAATATGCATTGCCTGTGTATTTATTCACAACCTCCTATGATTTTCTTATATTTTTCACATAATTTGAGCATATTGCTTTGTGTACCCTAATGGTAAGCTTAACGATAATTACTCTGTCTTGTTTAAACCATGATCTATTTTGATGTTTGACTTCACCACTGTGGCTTGTCCTTACTTTGTTTCCCCAGCTGAATTGTCCATGTTCCTGTGCCATAAAAAAAAAAACTAACAAAGAGACCAGAGAGAAATGAACAATAAGCTAGCCAGAAATCAGGAAGGCAAGCCACAGTTTGTTTGATTTTCTGCTGTGTGATATGTGGCTTAAGTAACAAACTATGGTTATCACAGATCACGGTTTATTATGATTTGCAAAGGTCATAATTGTGATATATTGGTATGCCCAATGAAATATTGTCCCTGTATGGGTTTTAGATTTCTTTTCTTTTCTTAAGGGGCAATATAGCTACATTTTGATTTTTTTTTTATTTCCTTATATCCTTTGAACAGAGAATATGCAGTCTTGACAATAGGCAAATAGTCAGTGCTTCTTTTTCTCTTCTCTTTCCAGGTCTAGTTCCAAAGGCTAACACGTTAGCAGGGTATCTGAAGAAGATCCCAATTCTTCATGATGCAGCATATGCCCAGACTCTCAGGCTAGGAGATGACACTTTGGTGCTTCCGTACGTATCTTAAAATCCAGAGTGTGCTAGTTCTTCTTGAAATTCTGAATCTTTCTATGAATTGCATGATATTCTTCAATTTTTTTTGCCTTTTCCTAGATTCTGTTAATCAGGAGTGTGGGTATACAGCTGCACAGAAATACTACATAATGGCCCAAATCCTCTTATATAGCTACAAAAATGACATGAAGGCAAATTGCCCCAGGTTAAAAAAATCACCATAGATACTGTCAGTTGCACACTGCATTGTACAACTCAATATGTAACTGATAATGCCTATCGGGATTTTTTAACTTCAGGCAATTGGCCTCCAGAAGTTATGCCATTTGTGCTCTGCCATGGTAACTAGGTAAGAGGATTTTGGCCAATGTGACATTAATTGGAAAGCAGATTTTGAGTATTTCAAGAGCAAATCCCTATGATGGGGTCAGTCTCAAGAGCCAGAGCCCTTTGGAATGAGGTCAGAGGATGACAGGCTCAGTCTACAAGTCTTATATCTACCCATGATATCATCTATCTTTTGGCAAGTGTTGCTGAAATGAAAGAAGCTGATGAGATGGCTGAATAAGATTTGGAGTGGTGCAGGCGAGGCTTCAGTGTTTTCCTTATTCTTTTGCCCCATACAGTGGTGCCTCGCTTAACGGCGATAATCCGTTCCAGGAAAATCGCTGTTAAGTGAAAACATCGTAAAGCGAAAATAAAAAGCCCATGGAAATGCATTGAAACCGTTCAATGCGTTCCAGTGGGCTAAAAACTCACTGTCCAGCGAAGATCCTCCATACGACGGCCATTTTCGGTGCCTGATTAGCAAGGAATCCGTCCCTAAACACAGCGGGGAGCCATTTTCATTACCCAGCAGCCATTTTGAAACCACCGATCAGCTGTTAAAAAACCATCGTTTTGCGAAGAATCAGTTCCCGAAGCAGGGAAGCGATCATCGCAAAGCGAAAAAACCCTATTTAGACCATCGTTTTGTGATCCCAAAAGCAATTGCAAAAATGTCGTCGTGAAGTGGATTCGTCGTAATGCAGGGTAATCATAAAGCGGGGCACCACTGTAATTTTCCACAACTAGAATACAGCCTGTAAAGTAAGCAATACCTTGTAATTTGCATAACTGATAGAGATTATAGGATTCATTTTAATGCAGGATTTGGAATGTCTGGGCACAGAGTCAACATAAACATGATTCTGGTCCTTCAATACCCTTGTCTTAACTGTATTTTAATATAGTAACTTCCAGTAGTGAAAGGGAACATTTGTGTTCTTGAGATGATCTGTTTAGATATAAAGGAACATAGATGCTGTCTTATCCCACATCAGACTTTTTGTCTATCTGGATGAGCATGATTTAATCTGGCAGTGTTGTACCACTGTCCCATGTAGTGGTCTCTCCTGCTAACTGTTATCTGATGTACAGAACTGACTCTCGAATCTTTTGCATGCAAAGTATGTGCCGTATCACTTGAGCGCTTGCCTTTCCTGTAAACCAAATACGTAGTCTTATACCACATTTTTTTGCGGATTCAGCCCTGTGTTGCCTACTATAAGTGGCAGCAGCTCTCCAGGCGGAGGGTTAAATAGTCTTATACCACATTTTTTGCGGATTCAGCCCTGTGTTGCCCACTGTAAGTGGCAGCAGCTCTCCAGGCGGAGGGTCTTGATCATCACCTACCTACGTAACGGGAGTTACCAAAGTTTCAACTGGGGAACCTCTGTATGCGCTCAGCCTGTCAGTTTTCTCACATGCATTGGGTAGGAAAGACCAATGTTAATACATAAAGTTTTGTTCCTATGTTGTAAGGGAATGTCTAAGCCCCCTCCCCAAGTAGAAGGTGCTGTAGATTGAAATCCTGCCCCGCTGCACCCATCCAACAAATTTATCATTTAGTGTCAAGTCGGCATGTTCTGTTGGTTTTGGTTGCAGGTGTGCATATTTAGCGTCAAATTTCAAATGCAATATGTAATTTAGAAAGGGGTGTTTACAGTATCCTAGAATTTTGGATCATTATGGAAATTACCGTACCTGTTACAGTGGACCCTCTGGTTACAGATGGCTCCACTTACAGACTTTTCGAGTTATAGACTTCTCTGGCTGCAAAATTTAGGTTCGACTTGTAGCTGGAGAATCGACCTACAGACCGGAAAAAAACCCAAAATGGAACAAAAACGGATGGTTATGGATTAAGCGGTTTTCAGTGCATTGTAGGTCAATGGAGCCTCGACCTACAGACTTTTTGACCTCCAGCCACCGTTCCAATATGGATTAATTCCGTAAATCGAAGGTCCACTGTACTAGAGAGGATCTAGGCCAGCAGGATTTAATAACTGATTGGATTAAAAGTATTTCCCTTAATCTGAAAAAGGATGTAAAAGGGTTTTAAAACTAAACACAAAACAAAAAAACAACAACAAATAAATGGAAGTACCCATGTTGGAAAATTCATTCATGTCTTTCTCTCTTGTACAGGCTAAGTGTACCTCTTTTAAGACGTTGGCTGAAATTCTGCTGTGCAGCTCCATGTGTGCAACATCAATGATCTCCTTATCACCAGCAAATCACCACTAATCAAAGGCTTCCTTTGTCTGGGTACATGCCACTTCATTGCATTGTGCTCCAGTTGTGTGCACCCCAAAATTGCCTTTAATCAGTGGCAATTTCCTTCTGATAGTGACGTCAGTCCAGGGTGTGTATTCAAGCCACACAAAAGGATTTTAGCCATTGTTTGCTTCATCATGTCAGAAGTCTTTTTTTTTTTACAAGTTTCCTTTTTTTCAAAAGCTGCACGCAAATTTCATTCTCATATATTGATTGGCTAAAATTACTTCAAAAGGGTGACAGTCGTAGAAGGAAGAAGAGACTGATTTTTTTCCCAGTGATTCCTAATCTTATGTAACCTGGGTGTTCTTGGACTACAGTTCCCAGAAGTCCTTTATCAGTAGCTGTGCTCCTGGGGTTTCTGGGAGTTGCAGTCCAAGATTATTTGGGTGACCCAAGTTTGGGAACCACTGTTCTGTTTTAAACAGTCAAAGTGATGAAGTCAAAGCAAAATTATATTGGCTGTTTCATCAGTCCCAGGCAGTCAGGTTTCACAATCAGGTTTCACAATGGGGGAGAAAGCAGTGTACAGTAACTCAAAAGCTCACTGAACAAAATGTTTTTTTACCTGGCAGCTCTTCTAACCAAAACAAAAGAATTATCTACACCGTCTTGGAACTTACTCCACTCCTTGATTCTTCAAATATGACACCAGCTGAATGGGACAAGATTGCTAGGCAACTTGAGGTATTCTAGATTTCTTTTGCAATATACTGTTTGTCATAGAAGAATGATTCCTTTTCATATTGTGATTCTAACAGTCATAGATTTTAGGAATTGGATGCCTTATATATCTGTTTGTTCTTTTATTTATTTAATGTTTTTCTGAATCAATTAATGGTCAAAGTGATTAATAATGAAACTGGAAAGGCAATGAAATCAACATAATATAAATCGAAACAAAATTCTTGAAACACATATATCTTAATAAAAGAAATTTTCTAAAGTCATCAAACACTATTATTTAATGGTGGAGGTGTTACCAGCCAGTCTAACCTCTCCGTGGAGGGTGTCTCACAGCTGGGGTGCTGGTACCTAGAAGGCCCTGTCCCTATCAATCTCATCTCACTAGGGCGTGGTTCCGAACGTTTTTTGAGTTGGGATCCCCTTTTATAATAGCCAAGTACCCTGTGGCCCCTTGCCAAATGTCCATAAAAAAGGTGGGGTTAACACTGTTGAATGTGGGACGGAATCAAGGCAAACCTCCCTGGTGGACGCTGGCTGGCACTGCAGCACTCTCTTTGCCGAGGCCAAAGCTGGCCAGCAGCCAGCCAGCAGCCCAGGAAGGGTGGCGAAAGTTTCCATCTTCCATGAAAAAGAGGGGAATGTGATGGTGATGGCTCACACATTGACTCCTGGCTGGGAATAAACAGCATTGGATTCATATTTGACAGAAACAAAAATTACGACCCTCTAGAAAACACTTTGTGATCCCTTTGGGGGTCATGACCCACAGGTTGGGAACCTGTCCTCTTGGGGATGGGATATGTAAAATTTGATAAACATAGTCACTGAGTAGATGATAGGTAAAATGCCAGTACTTCTTGTATCCATTGGATCCTGCCAGGAGCAGATGCCGATGAGCTGGTCAGATGCTCCAAGACTTGAGAGAACTTGTTCACCTTGTTCCCTCAAGGTCTGAAGCTCAGATGTGTCCTTTTGTCCAAGGCTATCCCCCTCAGGTGCCACTCATTCCCACCATGTAGGAAGCCTTAAATGGAGGTGGACAAAGACTTGAGGTCTGAAGCTCAGATGGTGTCCTTCTGTCCAAGGCTACCCCCCTCAGGAACCACTCATTCCCACAATGTAGGAAGCCTTAAATGGAGGTGGACAAGATCAGTAAGTCAAGGGGCTAAGTTTTTGGAAAACAGAAACAGGAAGCATCTGTGTACCTTCTTTTGAGTGGGGAGGAGAAAATGCATCTGGAGGTTTCTGAGAGGTCTGAAGCTCAGATGGTGTCCTTCTGTCCAAGGCTACCCCCCTCAGGAACCACTCATTCCCACAATGTAGGAAGCCTTAAATGGAGGTGGACAAGATCAGTAAGTCAAGGGGCTAAGTTTTTGGAAAACAGAAACAGGAAGCATCTGTGTACCTTCTTTTGAGTGGGGAGGAGAAAATGCATCTGGAGGTTTCTGAGAGCATCATATGACTCCATTGGCTCTTGATATTTTTCGGGGGCCCTTAGTAGTTGGGAGGGGCTCATGCTCACTGTACACTTTTATAAAGACCATCTTAGCCCATCCATGCCTTAAAGAGATAGACTTTTGCCTTTAAGCCTAACACTTTGTGCCACTTCAACTGATCATGCCAGACATGCTGGTGGTGTTGACACACCAGTTCCAGAGATCATGGAATGACTGGAGTGTATGCTTGCTCCAGTCTTAGCTGGAGGAGTTGATAATACTGCTCTGAGCTCACAGAGGTTGGTCACGGTTTCAGTTTCAGACATCTCTAATCTTTCCAAGAGCACGGATGATCTTGGTCTTAGTTTCCATTGGTGCATCCTTACACCTGATGATCATTTTCAGTTCCTTCATTGCTCCCTTCCTAGTCTCAGACCTTCTGATTTCTTGGCTGTAGTCTCTATTTAGATTGATGATTGAACCAAGGTATAAAAAAATCTTTCACTATTTAAATTTCTTTATTGTCAACATTAAATTTGTGTAGTTCTTCTGTAGTTATTATTTTTGTCTTCTTAATGTTGAACTGCAGTCCTGCTTTCATACTTTTTTCTTCTTTTACTTTAATTAAAAGTTGTTTCAAGTCGTTTCTGTTGTCTGCAACACCTTGAGCATCACTTTGTTTGTATGGGAAATTAAAGCAGTGATCATATACTTACTGCAGTCCTTGGCATTTCCTTTCTTGGGGATTCAAAATATACATTGAACATTGCCAGTCTGTGGGCCACTGTTTTGTTTTCAATATTTGCTGGCATATTGTTAGGATTTTGACAAATTTGGTCTCAACATGACAGTTACTGGAAAACTGCATTTGGGGTTCTGACCCTATTTCTGCCACCTTTACAATTTAAGTATTTCTTCTACCACCCATCTAGGTTTTTCTTTTCTTTTTGCTACAATAAATGTATTTTTTTCATTCCTCCCTAATAATATCTCTGGTTTCAATCTATTCAGTTGCGCATGAAACATTCTTCTGTTTCATGGGCAATTGAATTTAGTAATGCAGATTTGTTCCTGATATGGGCTGAAATTATGTTTATAAGTATATCTTGTTTTTGGTGTATGATCAATTGCTAACTAGATCTCATTAAGTTCCATTAATGGAATTTATGTACGTATGGTATTACAGGCTCCTGTTGATTCAGTGGGTTTACTCTTGGATTGATCCCTGCAGGGCCACCACCTCCTCACTAGATCCTTGCAAATCCAAATTGGATTGAGGCCCATGATTCATATGGCTTGCTTTGCGCACCCAAAATAACTTCCTATTTCCATGTTCTATCTCCTTTTCAAATTAAAGCTTACTCTACAAGATTTATTTTAGCATAAGTTTGGCTCTCCATAGGCTCCCCCCCCCCAGCAATCATGTAAGCATGTTATTGGAACAGCACAGCGGGGGCTAGGTTGTACTTTGCATTATTCAGAGCTCTGCGGTGGTCAACACAATATTTCCAGGGATGAAACTGTGAGCAGGCTGTAATTGAAAACCAGGATCTTGCTCACAAGGGTACCCCCTGGCAAAAAAATTGAGGAAAACAAGATCTGATGTAACTCTTACATCACTTGCTTACGCAACATGTTTCCCTTTTATAGAGAGGTTCGCCCATTGTTTTTGTTAATGGTTAATGATTATTTTTTCTTATTTAGCTGTGTTAACTTCTTGCAAAATATCATTTGACCACAAGGTGGTGGTGTAATATAGCTTCAAGCCCGGCAAAGTTTATCAGTGGCACTTGGAAAGTGAAATGTTTTTCAGAGCAATCCTGAGCACTGTCCCAAGGGGAACCCCGTATAAAGGGCATTGCAGCAATCTAATCTTGAGACTACCAGCGCATGAACCAGTGTGGTGAGGGACCCGGTGTCAAGGTATGACACAGCTGAGCAAGCCGCTATAGGTGGAAACAAGCAGATTGGACCATTGACGCTATCTGTGATGTCATTGATAGTGATGGGTCCAAGAGGATGCCCAAGCTATGAACCTCATCCTTCATGGGAGGGAGTACGCCCCTGAAAGACAGGGAGGCATCCAGACCACAGACACTAGGGCCCCCCTACCCGTACAATTTCTGTCTTGTTTGGGTTCAGTGTCAGTCTGATCTTTCATCCATCCCAGCACCGCATACAGGCAGTGCTCAAGGGACAGGACAGCATCCACTGTAGAAGGATGGAAGGAGAGATAGAGCTGAGTGTCATCTGCATATTGGTGACACAGTGTCCCAAAACCCCTGATGACCTCCTCCATTAAATAGCATTGGGGAGATGATTGATCCCTGCGGGGCTCCACCATTGAGAGTCCATGGAGCAGGCAACATCTACCCAAACTGAACTCTCCGAGGGTGGTCCTCCAGGAAGGATTGGAGGCAGTTCAAGGCCTGACCACTGATCCCCAATCCCGAGAGCCTCCCCAGGAAGATTCCATGGTTGACAGTATCAAAGGCTGCTGAGAGGCTGAGAAGGACCAACAAGGACGTTTCGTCCCTGTTAGCCTCCCTCAAATGGTCATCTTGCAGGGCGACCAATTACGTCTGTGCCGTGACGCGGCCTGAACTTGGACTGGAATGGAACAAAGGCATTGGTCTCCTCCAGGAGAGCCTGAAGCTGGTCGGCCACCAGTCCACCAGCTTGCCGATAAAGGGAATGTTGGCGACTGGACAATAATTCTTAATACCATCAGCTGCCAAGTTGGTTTTTTTCTGGATCGGCTTAATAAGTGTCTCCTTGAGGGCCAGCAGGACCCTGCCCTCAAGGAGAGACCCATTAATAATAACGACCGCCTTCAAGAGCCAGGCTGGGTGGCCTGGCTCTTGAAGGATCTAGTGAGGAGGTGGTGGCCCTGCAGTGATCAAGAACCCTGTCAACCTCAGCTGATGTTACGGGCTGAAATTGTGTTAAGATTACTGGACAAGGTGATGTGCAGGACATCTTGGCACAATCTACTGATAAAGAGGAGGTATCTAGGTCCTGGCGGATGGCCTCCCCTTAATATTTGAAAAAGGCCACAGACTGGTTACAGGAGATGCTACTGGGAGGCCTGTCACTGTGACCAGTCCCAGATAAATTGCGTATCGGCTTTGCTTATTGGGCGAGTGAAGTAGGATTTTCTTATAGCCTTCACCTTGGCTAAGTAAATATTTGATGCGATTTTAGCGGCATTTAAGGTAGTTACTGTCGGGGCTCATCTCCAAATGCCCTCTAGCCTCCTCCTATTGCACTTCAACCCCACAGCTGCTGGTTATACCAAGCAGCTGGCCGAGGCTGAGAATTGAGGGGGCATTTAGGAGCGATCATGTCAGCCGCCCTGGTGGCTGCCACATACCATTAATCTATCAGAACAGTGACAGGAACTCCAACCAGGTCAGCCGGTATCCCCGCATTGCATCTTGGAAACCAAAAGGATCCAATAGCCTGCGGGGGCAAACAATCTTAATGGTTCCCTGCTCCCCACAGAACAGGAGTGCCACTGAGAGGTCACATTTTATTAGATGGTAGTCCAAACATGACAAGGGGACTGATACCAAGTCGGTCACCATTGGTCCACTCTCTCCCTGGCCTGTTGAGAACACCAGGTTTAATATATGGCCCACCATGGGGTGGGGATGTTGACAAATTGGGACATCTCCAAGGAAGCAATGGTTTCCAAGAACTCAAGATCTGGACCTGTGGCCCCCACCTCAGCATGTACATTGATTGATTGATTGATTGATTGATTGATTGATTGATTGATTGATTGATTGATTTACTTACTTACTTACTTACTTACTTACTTACTTACTTACTTACTTACTTACTTACTTACTTACTTACTTACTTACTTACTTACTTACTTACTTACTTACTTACTTACTTACTTACTTACTTACTTACTTACTTACTTACTTACTTACTTACTTACTTACTTACTTACTTACTTACTTACTTACTTACTTACTTACTTACTTACTTACTTACTTACTTACTTACTTACTTACTTACTTACTTATACCCCACCTATCTAGTCACTGTGACCACTCTAGGCGGCTTACAACACAAACTATAAAACAGATATATAAATAAAATAGTTTACACAATTAGAAAAATTTTCTACAAGATGGAAGGAAAGACAAAATAAATCATAGCAGAAAAGGAGGGGAAGAAAACTACAAATTAACTGGGGGGGGCGGAGTGGAGGCCTGCCTAAAGATCCATGTTTTCAGTAGATTGTTAAAATCAACTACATTGAATTCACCCAGAACAATTAGTCTGGGGGACCACAGTGCCACGGCAGAGATGACATCCACCAGCTCTGGAAAGGAGAGTGCTGGATTGTGGGGAGCATGGTAAACCAGCACCATCCCAAATCCATCTCTGGTCCCCCACCGACACATGAAGGGCCTCAAAGATTTTTCTCTCTGCTTATACTGATATAATCATTTATGCTTCTTTTTTCCTCCTCTACTACCTGCTCTGTTTACAGTAATCCATGGCCTCTGATTTTTTGTGGTAAATATAATCTGTCGACATCACTTTTTGGATGTAGTGCATGATGCATATTCATTTATTTGTCACCATATGCCCAGGGGCTATAACATCTGACACACTCTTTGTTGACCCGGATAACAACCAATACAGTACAGATTTCTGTTTATTTCCTCTCATCATAATTGATGGTTGGTGGGCACAGTTGGTCTGGCTTCTCAGCTGAGACCTGTCTGGCTTGGGAGACCCTTTAGCATAGGTCTCAGCCTCACTGAAGCATGTAAGCCCCTCTGACTCAACAAGGCCTGTGCCCATGGAAGGGATGATGATGATGATGATGATGATGATGATGATGATGATGATGATGATGATGATGATGATGATGATTGGTGGACATAGGGGGCAGGGTACACTTGAAATATTAGAAAGATTGCAATATTTCTCTGGGATTTTTTTTTAGAAAGAGTGGGAAACTGGAATAATAATACCTCTCCATACTGCTTTTCAGACAGAAGAGGGCAGTCCTGCACCAGCGTTTTCATTCCCTTGAGGCTGGATGATGGGCCTTCTCATTGTACTTCATTGCTACTACAATAGTCCCAGTTTGCTTAATTTGTTCCCGTAAATGGTATTATCCCCGAAGTAAAAGAGGCGACAAGAAATCAGACCATATGACTCATTTACATATGTTAACATTCCCGTTTTAAAGCCACTGCTAAGCTTTCCCTAATTAGCAGTCTTCCTCTAGTTTAGGACACACCATTAATATGTATACATTGAGGAAGAGGCCTTTGAATTTTCTTATAATTAGCTGTTGAAAGAATGAGATTTTATGTTGACTGTATTCTTCAACAATTAATTATGTTCAAGTCAGCGCTTCCTGGGAAGCCAGACAAAAGCGTACAGAAAACTAAAATTCATTGGTGCAGTTTTTCTTGCATTGACCTGCTTGTCTCTTAGGATCACTTCAAGCCCTTTCCTATATTTTCACTTTTCATGTGAAAACAGGATGGGACAAAACAGGGTGGGGGACAGAGAGAGAGAGAGAGAGAGAGAGAGAGAGAGACTTTCATATATAACCTGTTGCACTATCTTTACTCTGATCAATTATGGCCACAACACAGATGGTGGGGAACATGTTTGCGTGTAGGAGTCTGAAGCTCACTGTGTCTCGCTTTGTCATGATAAATCACTGTATCCAAACACTGCCAATATGCTATTAACAGTTCAAAATATACTGGAGCAGGCAGGGTATCTACAGATAGGTTATCCACAGACTTTTAAAAAGTTACTTTTTTTGGACTATAGCTCTTAAAATTCCTCAGCTTAGTCAGTGGCTGTACTGGCTGGTCAATTCTCAGAGTTACAGTTTTAAATACTGTAGTAACTTTCCTGAGTTCAAACTGCATTCTATGTTACGGATACTGTACCCCTAAGCCACAAAATGTACTGTTTAAAATGTGTTGCAACCTAGATTTTGGGTGGATGGTTTCTTTCCCCAGACTGAACTTAAGGGCACATTGTGCGACTCCATGATCACCGTCTTAAATAAATTTCTGCCTGCTTTGGAGAACTGCTCTGAGGTTTATTATGATTTCTTATTTTAAAGGTTTTTTTTTCTGATGTCGGCATAGTCAGATAGTTGCAGAAGGCTTTTGTAATGTAAACCATATACTTGGGAATCTGTACTTGAGGTGGGAGAAAGAAGAAACTCACAAGAGAGAGCGGAAATAACCTTGGAAATATTAACATTTGTTTTTCTCCTTCTTCTAGTATGTTACTTTGAAATTTTAAAAGACGGTACCTATAATGGATTTGGTCTTTTGAAAATCATTTTAAGCATACATCAGAGAGGAAATACAGGGTTGAGAAACTGATAGATCAGGAGGTACTGGCAGAATTATAGTTAATTTGCAGTGCATTATCAGAGGTTTTTACTCTCAGCTGCTTATCAGCAAAATGGCTTTCCCAGCTTCTGTCAGAATAGGCTCCTGAAAGAAGCTTCATTTTCAAGTAATCATGAGAACAACAGTGTGTACAAAGTAGTTTCTGAACAGTTGAGTTCAGATATTTAAAGCATAAAACAAAATCCTAGAAGTACATTTTTCTTTTATTTATTTTTGTATTTTGCCTCTGACTCTGTTTGGTGAATCTTGGGGTCCTAATGAAAAAAACCAAATAGATCTGATAATTCTGAAGTCTACCTACTCCAGAGTTGATATTTAAAAATCATTTTGCTTGCCATGGTTTTGAAAATGTTTGCTTTCAACTTCTCTTCCCAGAGTAATGATATCCATTGTTTATTAGTTTACTTCTTAACATGATATCTTTGTCTTGAATCAACAGAAAAACTATGAAAAGTATGATGGGTTTGTGATCCTTCATGGTACAGACACGATGGCCTATACAGCCTCGGCATTGTCCTTCATGTGCGAGAATCTGGGTAAATCTATTGTTCTAACAGGATCCCAGGTAAGAAGGTTCTTTGAAAACTGAACAACAGAGCTGTCACCAGCCTTCACTAGACTTTGCCACAGGTGGCAGATGCTGAGAGATGGTGGCCAGGGGGTTAGGGAGCAAGAGGTGTGCCACGTGGCCTGCCAGAGGTCTAGCTGGACTCTCTGGAAATTACTTAACAGACTTCGAAGCAAAGTAGGAAGATCAAGGAATAATCAAGTAAAATGGGGTTAGTTGGATACAGGATATATTTACTATGACTGTGGAGAAATATGATCACTGCAGCACTGATGTGCGTGCAATTATTACCCACCATGTGTACAAAAGAAGGTCTAGCAAATGGCCAATATAACATAACTGAAGTAGCCCACTTCTGGTCTAAATAATCTAAATATTTTAACATTTTAATTTGTTTTTAGTTTTACCTATCTTGTCCAAAGAAAGAAAGAAAGAAAGAGGGTCTGCCTTGCACCCTCTAACCTAGCCTCCTGCCTTCAAGTGTGAAAGATCATCAGTGGGCTTTTGAACATGGAATGGAAGGGGACTAACTGAGGTAGCAAAATGTTTTAGGAGAGCTCTCTGTTGAGAAAGGTGGACATGATCTGCGTTAAGCATTCATAATGTTTATCTCTTTCATCCCCACAACAACTTTGTGAAGTATGTGCTCATGATCCATCTTTCACAGTTGAGAACATGAGTTTTGAAGCTGAGCCAAAGTCCATGTTGAATGGGAGGTGTACCATCCCACGTCCTTACCTTTAAACTGAAGTACAACAGGAGACAGTTAACTTGACTGGGCAGGAGCCAAGTTTTCTTTTGTTGGAAAATCTTCTCTCCATTTTAAGTCTTCTGCCTCTCCCATTGGTTTTCACATGATGTTGGGAAGGGAAGAAGGAATGAAGTTTGGAAAAATTGCCTATTTTGAATGACAACAGCCAGAATCCCTTGGCTAGAGAACTCTAAATGTTCTAGTCCAAAGAAGTAACTTTTCCAAGCGCTGAGATGGAAGGCAGGTACAGTATTAGTGTTGGCCTTTTTCTTCCAGCTGGGCTAGTAGCATTTTCATGGGAATAATCTCAGTTTGGCAAAAGAAACATCATGGTGGGTAGAACTCATTGTCTTCCTCTTTCACCAACGGTTTGCCAGGCCAATTGTTCAAGTACGAGAAGGAGAAAGTGGGGAGCGGGGAAAGTTTATGTTACAGATATTTATCATCGTATCCACTTATGTGCAAAGCCACTTGCCAAAAGAAGGTTTATGAATGTACTGAGAGATTGTTCTCCTGGATGACACCCTCACCCCATCAGGAAGCTGGCTACCACATTTTGAACTGGAGCATCCAAACATTATCTATGGCGATAGGTTGTCTACTGAGGGCTTCGGATAGCAAGAAGTTAGTGTTAGAGCATTGGCTTAGGACTTGGGTTCAAATCCCCACATGGCAGTCAAGCTCACTGGGTGACATGGAGTTGGGGTAAAGATGGAGAGAGAAGAGATTTTTGTGCCACTTGAGCTCCCTGGAGGAAAGGGAGGACCAAATATAACTCTATCTATCTATCTATCTATCTATCTATCTATCTATCTATCTATCTATCTATCTATCTATCTATCTATCTATCTATCTATCTATCTATCTATCTATCTATCTATCATTTTCTCCCTGATAACATAAATAACATGCTAAATTGAAGTATAACTTTGTAAGATGAGGGAGATTGTGTTTCTGCATTCCGAAGGAGTTCTCCCATCTGCCACAGTCTAGGAGAAAAAAAATACATTGAAATTCCACTAAATCATATGTTTAAGGTACATGTTTCATAAATTATTCATTCTACACTTTCTCTATACAATATATACTGGAGTCTTTCCTTTTTCCTCAGCTACTTTAAAGAGCATTTTTGTCTCTCTTTTTTTCTTAGGTGCCCATATACGAACTGAGGAACGATGGCCGATCCAACCTGCTGGGGGCGCTGCTGATTGCTGGACAATTCGTAATCCCTGAGGTTTGTTCATTTTATCTCTTTGTTCTTGCCCCCCTTTTTTTCCTTTATTGCATTGGTTTTATTATATTTCTGTCACAAGTTTTGAAGAAGCTCAGATATCATAGTCAGAATAAACTAACAGCAACATAAACTTATTTTCTAGCCAGGGGAATTTTTTTTTGAAAAAAAAAAAGTTAAAAAAACATGTATTATAGAACATAAAATAGCAACTCCTATAATTTAGGATGCTTTTAGTGGATATCCTAGTATACCATGAAAGGGCTCCCATCACAGGGACACATCCTTCTCTTTACCAAGTCCATTGCATAGTTATAGCAGTCCCATTAAGTTACCCATCTCAGTGACTAATATTACTGTGATCAACCAATCTGCAATACACAAAGGAGCACTGGATTTCCTGTATTGCTCAAATGTATTCTTAGCTGCAACTAAAAGAGTCCCAAATACTTTTAAAGAAATCATTATACATCCTTCAGCTCTTTAGGACAATTGATTTGTCACAATGACATCGAAACTTTGGTTGTCACTGTTCTCCAAAATAGTCTTAGTATTGGGACTATATGCAGAAAATCGGCATCAATTAGTTTGCTAGAGAAGTGTTAGAAGTCATTTAAAAGGCTAAACTAAGAGTATATGCAGAAAATCAGCATCAATTAGTTTGCTAGAGAAGTGTTAGAAGTCATTTAAAAGGCTAAACTAAGAGTATAATAGGAAAGCATTATACTCTATTCTGCTGGTAAGCAACCTTATATAGACAAGTTTGGAGTATAACTTCCAAAATCCCCCACCATTGGAGTTCATAGGGATTGTAGAAGCAAAACAAAGCAAAAGCAAAGTGTGTTACATATACTGCCCCATAGTGCTTAAAGCATTCTCTGCACAGAGTACAATTTAATTATACAAACTACACTTCCATCACCACCCCCTCTGAGCTGGGTACTTAATTTACTGACCTTGGAAGGCTGGAAGGCTGAGTGAACCTCAAGCCAGCTGTTAGAATCCACTGGGATTGAGCGCTAACTATGAGCAAAGTTTTGAGTGCAATACTGCGGTTTAACCACTGCACCACAAGGTGATCTGGAGTGTACCAGGTTGTCTACCCCTGATCTTTTCTGCTGAAGAAGATCTGTAGTAGATGTATCCCCAAGGAGCAGAAATAGCAACTATCTATGACTCTCCTGAGTAGGAATGAGGAGACCTGGCTGCATCCACATCACCAGTTTGAATCTAGTGTGAAACCAGGTTTGATTTCCTGGTTTTCTTTCAGATAAGCTGGGGAACTTTTAAAAAGGGTTTTAGGACAGAGCTTGCTCACATGTTGTTAAAAAGTTTGTTCCACGAATTTCTTTCTTGGGAGCCATAATATATAAAAGAGTTTTGAAGCTAGTTTCAGTTTGTAATGTAGACTTTGTAACTCTGAATAAATCCATTATACAGACCTACACTTCTGCCTGTTTCTCTAGCCGTACAGTCAACCTGCACTCTTTCAGGCATTCTGAAGTTTGAAGGGCTGTTGATTTACTATGACATACCCAGAGTTGCACACTTTATGTTAACATTTCATTGCGTATCACCATTAAAGAAGCAAAATAAAATCACCCTCATCATTGGGTGTCAGCTTCAAAGGTTCCTGATAGCTCTGCACAGCTGCTCAACTTGCTTTTGGTAGGAAGTACCCATGGGTAATGAGCTTACATTTAATCTTAGTTGTTGAAAACCAAAATACTAAAAGACAGATGTGGCATTTTTAAATGCCTGTAAGAACTATACATACCACTCCTGCATAATTCTGATTATATTTATAACCATCTTCTAATTCATTTTTATTATTTTTAAGGAAAAAGTCAGATGTGTGTGTGTTTTTAATCAGTTGGATGGTGTAATTACAAGGTTTGGAGGCTGACAAGCTTCTTTTCTCCTTCTTGTAGGTGTGCCTGTACTTTTATAATAGACTGTACCGGGGAAACAGGGTGACTAAGGTGGATTCAGAGAGTTTCAATGCCTTTTCCTCACCTAACCTGCCTCCACTTGCAAATGCTGAGGTTGATATTACAAGTAAGCAACACTGTGATTTCAGTTCTCATACTGTAACTTTGCTGTCTGTAACCCTTTCCTGAACTGCTGCAGTATTGGGTCAAACTGTTTAATGCAACTTTATCCTTTCCTTCCAGGGTCATGGTTGTTTATGGGTACTGCTCACAAGTGCCTTATGTCTTAATGATATTTTGCTTTGAAAGGTACCCTTGCCATTTTTATGGCATCGCCCTTTAGTTTATTCTGAACTGATGTAGGTAAGGAACCTATGTAGGCCACCAATGGAATCCCTAGAATTCCACATACGTTGTAACACATGGTGGGTTGATCCGTATGGCGATGGTTGATAAGCTACTCTGCATTTCCGTCAATGGAACAGACATGGTTGGCACCAGAGGTTGGCTGGAACAAGCAGTTGTCCAGTTCCTGTGTCCTATGAAAGCCCCAAAGGGTGAAGGTTGTTAAAGACTGAGCTGAGTTCTTGGTCTTCCCCAGTCTATGCCAGGTGAGGACAGATGGGAGTGCCCACTGGCAGTTCTTGTACAACAGCTCTCAGCATTCTGGAATGATTGCAACTGCTTTTCAGTCTCTTCTGAACCCACTGATGGAATGTAGTGTAGGAATATACATCCTCGATTGCGTCATTCATCTGTGCATAGATGAAAAACCGGAGCCTTTTTCTCCTTGCCTGTGAGATTGGAAGATACTTTCTGCCAGTCTCCATTAGAGTGTTCAGTTGCAGTATTTATTTTTTGTGCAAAAGACACAATTTCCACAGCTCGACAATGACAGCTGCTGTCTCGTTGTTTCTTCCTTTTAAAAAGGAAGAAACCCTGAGTGGGTTGTTGTGTCTTTTTAATCAATCAGCATGTCCTTTTAGGCTTATTGTGTGTTTGCCTCTGCACTTTGCTTCATAAAAGGCAAGACCACTGCTGTTCCATGGAATGATTCTGTTTCCATTGTAGAAAACATACGGGAGGGAGAGGGCTGAGAGCTCATTGCCTCACTTTTGTACCGAGACCAAGAAATCTCATGGGTTGTATGTGTATGAACAGACTCTAGAAAGGCTGTCTCAACGTGTTGAAATAGCCTGTCTCGTCATGTTTAGACAATGTATCCATTGTTGTTGTTGTTTAGTTAAGTCGTGTCTGACTCTTCACGACTCCATGGACCAAACCACAGCAGGCTTTCCTGTCTTCCACTGCCTCCTTGAGTTTGGTCAAATTCATGTTGGTAGCTTTGATGACACTGTCCACCCATCTCATCCTCTCTCGTCCCCTTCTCGTCTTGCCCTCACACTTTTCCAAAATCAAGGTCTTCTCCAGGGAGTCCTCTCTTCTCATGAGATGGCCAAAGTATTGGAGCCTCAGCTTCAGGATATGTCCTTCCAGTGAGCACTCAGGGTTGATTTCCTTCAGAATGGATAGGTTCGTTCTCCTTGCAGTCCAGGGGACTCTCAAGAGTCTCCTCCAGCACCATGATTCAAAAGCATCAATTCTTTGGCGGTCAGCCTTCTTTATGGCCCAGCTCTCACTTCCATATACATTGCTACTCGAAAAACCATAGCTTTGACTATGCGGACTTTTGTTGGCAAGGTCAGGTCTCTGCTTTTTAAGATGCTGTCTAGGTTTGTCATCGCTTTTCTGTTTGCTGTGGTCCACACAGTCAAAGGCTTTTGCATTACTGCTGAAGCCTACCTTGTAGGATTTGGAGCATAACCTTGCTAGTGTGTGAATTGAGTGCAATTGTACGGTAGTTAGAGCATTCTTTGGCACTGCCCTTCTTTGGGATTGGGATGTAGACTGATCTTTTCCAGTCCTCTGGCCACTGCTGAGTTTTCCGACCTTGCTGGCATATTGAATGTAGCACCTTAACAATGTCATCTTTTAAGATTTTATATAGTTTTTGTTGCTGCCTCCTATACAATGTTACCAGCCTCCAGCCATAGTTCTTCAGGCACTCTGTCCACCAAATCTAGTTCCTTAAATCTGTTCTTCACTTCCACTGTGTATTCATAAGGGATTTGGTTTAGATTCCAACTGACTAGCCCAATGGTTTTTCCTCCTTTCTTCAGTTTAAGCTTGAATTTTGCTATAAGAAGCTGATGATCAGAGCTACAATCAGCTCCAGGTCTTGTTTTTGCTGACTGTGTAGAGCTTCTCCATCTTTCGCTGCAGAGAATATAATCAACCTGAGTCACCTCTTGTGTTGTTGGAAAAGCATGTTTGTGATGACCAGCTTGTTCTTTTGACAAAACTCTATTAGCCTTTGCCCTGCTTCGTTTTGAACTCCAAGGCCAAACTGACCTGTTGTTCCTTTTATCTCTTGACTCCCTACTTTAGCATTCCAGTCCCCTGTAATGACAAGAACATCTTTCTTTGGTGTCAGTTCTAGAAAGTGTTGTAAGTCTTCATAGAATTGGTCAGTTTTAGCCTCTTCAGCATTGGTGATTGGTGCATAAACTTGGATTACTGTGATGCTGAAAGGTCTGCCTTGGATTCGTATTGAAATCATTATATCATTTTTGAGATTGTATCCCAGTACAGTTTTTCCGACTCTTTTGTTGGCTATAAGGGCTACTCCATTTCTTCTACAGGATTCTTGCACACAATAGTAGATATGGTAATAGTCTGAATTGAATTTGCCCATTTCCGTCCATTTTAGTTCACTAACGCCTAGGATGTCAATGTTTATTCTTGCCATCTCCTGTTTGACCACATCCAGCTTACCAAGGTTCATAGATCTTACATTCCAGGTTCCTATGTAGTATTTTTTTTTGCAGCATCAGACTTTCCTTTCACTTCCATGCACATCTACAGCTAAGCGTCCTTTTGACTTTGGCCCAACCACTTCATTAGCTCTGGAGCTACTTGTCCTTGTCCTCTGCTCTTCCTCAGTAGCACGTTGGATGCCTTCCAGCCTGAGAGGCTCATCTTCCAGTGTCATATCTTTTATCCTTTTGTTTAAGTCCATGGGGTTTTCTTGGCAAAGATATTGGAGTGGCTTGCTAGTTCCTGCTCCATGTGGATTGCATTTAGTCGGAACTCGCCACTATGATCTGTCCATCTTGGGTGTCCCTGAACGTCATAGCCCATAGCTTCTCTGAATTACTCAAGCCCCTTTGCCATGACAGGGTAGCAATGAATGAAGGGGATTTATCCATTGAGAATCAGTAATTTAGTGAGATTTCTTCACATCCCTGTGAATGGCTCATCTCATTTAACAGAGCTCCTAGCAGAGTACCCCTCTAAGAATTTGCAGAGGCTGGAGGGAGTGCCCTGGGAAGTGGACAGAAACCTGCCCAGTGACACTTGCCAGCCCAATTGGGTAAGGGAGTTCACACAGAGATAAATTTGGAATTCATGAAGGTGAGTTCTTGATATTTGATCTGTCAGTATCAGATCTTGGCTGAAAGCACAGCCTAAGACAGCGATGGCGAACCTATGGCACGTGTGCCACTGTCAGCAGGCAGAGCCCTCTCTGCGGGCACGCAAGCCACAAGTCTCCAGATCACTACTCCCCCCTCCCACACAGCCAAATCTGAGGTGGTGGCTGCAGCCACAGTGCTGGCACTTTGACAAGTGGTGGGCCAGGATCCAAAGCAGCTGGCGCTGGTGGCAGATCCAGAGTGGGGTCTCGAGGCACCTCCGTGCCTGGGATTCCCCCTTCCACCACCACTTCCAGTTCTGCTGCCATGGCCCACCGCCCACTGGCTTGTTTTTTTTCCCCAGTTTGGGCACTCGGGCCCAAAAAGGTTCACCGCCACTGGCCTAATAGGCTGGTGTCCTTCTCGACCATAGGTTCCCCTCCAGCCACATAATTCATCCACAGTCATGTTTGTTTCAGCCATCTTTAGAACTCAACCTTAGTTTTTAAGGCAGTTGTTGCCTTACTCAGCTAACCTTTGGCTGAGCCAGCCAGCCAGTACATCTAACTGTACTCAGCCAGTACATCTAACTCTAACTATACATAACTCATAAAGTAAGGTCAAAAAAACAACGCAAACTCAATAAGAGGCGTACACAAATCAAAAGTGGTTCAAAAAATCTTCACAACTGACACAAGTAAAGAGGCTTTAGAGAGGAGGAGCAGCATCAGAAGAAAGATTAATCAAATATTTGAGCGGTAACACTCATGTCACAATAGTCATCATTTTCATAGTCTTGCCATATTGCCAGGAAAAGTTAAAGGCAGCAGGAAAGACCATATATGGGATGGACTGACTCAATAAAGGAAAATGACTCTGTTCATACTGAACAATATGTATGGTCATGCCCTTGAACAGGTATAGGGAGATATATGAGGGCCACTTGTTGTTAGAGTAGACAGTACTAGGCTAGAAGGACAAATATTCTGATCCTGGATGACAAAACATGATATGCTACTATTCTTATTTCAATCAACTTTACTGAGATTTGCCTTCACCTTGTCAGTTTTTCTTTATTGTGATTGGGTGTCTTCAGGCAGAAGCTGGACGTCTGTCCATCTGAGATACTCTAGCTCTGAATTTTCTGCACCAAGCAGAAGGGTAATCTTCAGGCTCTCCTCCAACTTGATGACTCTGTGTATGGAGAGGCCAAAGCTGTCACTGTGATTACATGATGTTGTTAAAGTTCATGTGGCATGTAGCATAGTAGCAAGTCTGATTTGCCATGCATTGTGTGCTCAGTAAAGAGATATGATCAATCCTGATGAGCGTACCTCTGTATCACACATTCTTTCATCCACGATGATCCTTACCCAGAAGGCCTTATTAGGGTTGCTGCTTGACAACACATAATACACAATTAATACATCCAAGGCCCATCCAATGCCTTGAAAACTTTACTGAGATTTGCCTTCACCTTGTCAGTTATTCTGTATTGTGATTGGGCATCTTCAGGCAGAAGCTGGACATCTGTCCGTCTGAGATACTCTAGCTCTGAATTTTGTGCACCAAGCAGAAGGGTAATCTTCAGGCTCTCCTCCAACTTGATGACTCTGTGTATGGAGAGGCCAAAGCTGTCACTGTGATTACATGA